GCCGGTAAACAGTTACGGAGCCACCTCCTCCAGGAACGAGGGAGGCAGCGAGAGAAATGAGAGCAACGCACAGTCAAAAACTAACCACAGCTTCCTTTAAGGGCTTGTAAGTGAAAGCATTTCGTCGACGTGGCTGCATAAAGATTCTTCAGATTGCTAAGAGAGGAAAATGCACCGATACGCAGTTGGCAGCCTCTCAGACGGCTCCCCAGCCTTCATCCGCTGCTTCTTCGCCTCCCTGTCCAGCGAGCCGTGGGGTTCTCCGAGCTCCGTCCCAGCTCTGGCTCCTGGCGTGTGAGTTCTGTCGTCTTCACACCCTCTGCTCGCTGACGGAATTCTCTGTTCGCATCTCCAGCCCAGCTCTCCCTGAGAACCCCAAAACTCCACGTTCTACTGACCAACTAACAGCTCTACTTGGATGCCCTGGAGGAATTTCAGTTGTAACAATTTCCAGACTTAATTCTTCTCTCCTCTTGCAGGGCATTGCCCCGGCTGGATCCTCCTCCCGGTTCTCTGTCTCAGGAAGTGCGAGGTACCATGTTTCCCTGAAAATGAGACAGGGTCTTATATTGATTTTTCCTCAAGAAGACACCCTAGGGCTTATTTTCAGGGGATGTGTTATTTTTTTTAAGTACGGGACAACCATCTACATGTATTCAAGTAGAGTTAAGTTGTCTTCTTCTGGAACATCATCATCACTCTCCAAACCCTGAATTCCATCCTGAATTTCTTGCAACTCTATTTCCTTTAGAACCATTGGCCCCAATCGCTCATGTGGAGCAACAGAGCTCTCATGGAGCAGATGAGAAGGGCTACTTGTCTTCTTTCCCGCTCCGCGACGACATGCATGGGTTGTGCAGATGCGCTGCGTAGCCACGCCCATCACTAGGGCGTATTTTCGGGGTGGGGCTTCTATTGCGCAGATGCATAGAAATCCTGCTAGGGCTGATTTTATGGGCAGGTCTTATTTTCGGGGAAACACGGTAGTAGCTCCAGTTCTCGTGTTACCCAGAGTCAGCCTTGACACCCTTTTCTCTCTCTCTGGTCCCGTCCCCACCGAAAACCCATCGTACAATCTCACATCATCTGCTCTCAAGTGTCCCCCCAGTTTGGGGTTGAAGATATGGCTGGAAGCTTCTCGGGGAGGGAGGAGAATATTGAAGTCATCACAAATGTAACGTGCACGTGTATGAGGAACAAGGAGCTGGGGTGAGGGAGGAGCAGATCACACTTTTGGGAGGAGGTGAGACAGTTGCCACGGGGCTGGTGGACATCTCCATGCCCTGGCTCCATCCACACCCCCCGAGGGGCAAGGTGCCACCTGTCACACCATCTCTACTAGAGAAACCTTCCCCGTTGGGCTTTCTGCTTCCATGTTGCTCCCTTCACAGCTCACGTCACACCCAGCGTCTCGAATGGTCCTTCAAATGTCCCGTCCATCATGGAATCCCTCTGCCCGACGAACATGGCCCTCGGGCCACTGTTGCTGTTAGGACAGAATACGAAATTCCCGAGACTGTCTATCGTGCTGGCACCAACGTGCTTTCCAATGCCCTTCCTGGCTCCATGCCCTGCCCTTGGCCTCTTTGCTGTCTTGGCCTCATGCCCGTTGTTGCTCCTTCATCCTGTTAGACTTGCTTCTCTCTTTCTGCCCCCAGGGGACCCACAGACACTGGGTGACCCCCTGGCTAGATCCCCTACGTTTCCACCTCCCCAGCTTTTCTGCCTGCCCTTCAATAATCAGCTATCGTATCCTCAGAGAGTGCTTACTGCCGGCTTTCCACCATCCACGAGACGCCTCTCAACATCTCCCCTCACTGTTCTTAGGACCTGTTCTTAGGTCCACATGCCTCATCCTAATTTGTCAGATATGAGTCCGTCTGTGGTTCTGTAGTTTGATGCCGCTGTCCTCCCACCTCCTCCCTGGATGGGGATAATGGAGACAAAATCGGCACAATTAAGCTCTGTCTTCTCAGCGCCTAACACGGTGGTCGGATTGAATCCGAGATTCTCAAACTCAGACAGGTGGCCCCTCTGGGGGCATTTGGCAACACCTGGAGAAGCCGGTAACGCCAGCTGGGTGGATGCTCGTGGTACCTCCTACACAGAGGCCAGCTATGCCCTAGACACCCCCCAATGCACACACCCCCCCCAAAATGCACAGCCTCCCAGACACAGAGGAGAAGTATCTGGCCTTGAGTGTCCAGAATGCTGAGGTTGAGAACTCCTGAGTTAGGTGAAGGAGGAAGGCCGTGTCCGAGATTATGAACAGCGTGCTAGAGGCTGAGCATCCTTAAACCAAGAGGATCTCTCTCCCAGAATCCAGGCCGAGGTGTCTGCCTTAAGCAGACTCCCGATCTCTGAGCTTAAGCAGATTAAGATACGCAACAGGCAGCCAGGAGACCCCTCTACACAGCACCGTAAAGAATCCTCGATCCTTGAGGATCTCTTGCACTTTTCATTAAACTGTCAAAGGGATTTTTCTCTTTCCAAAGCACCATTTTCCCTTATGCAGTAAGCACTATAAATCTGCAGAGACGGAAAGGACGAGTGCACTTGATAGGCGAGCCAGTTCAGCCGCCGGGAAGTGAGATATCTTTCCTACGACGTCAAAGCGAAACTCGGCGTGGAAACGTGTCTGCTGGTTTTAGGGTTGTGCTTCTTTTCTAGAAGGTTCCAGGATCCCCTGAGCTATGAGAGGATGTCAATCAGATGTGCAGACACAGATGAAAAGAGTGTCGGTGCTGCAGGAAGCGTCATGCACGGGGACTCTTGCCCTGTCCCCAAGGGCCGTGCCGGTGCCCGTGTGTACGTGTTTCCTCCCATGCACGGGAGTCCATGTGCTCTTTCCTCTTCGCCCCATGAATTCTGGATCCTCTCCCATCACTTCATCTCCAACAATGCCCCACTTCTCTGAATTCCTATACCGCAGGTCCTGCCTCTAACATCAAAACAATCGATGAAAAAAATATGAATTTTAACATCGAACTGATGAAAGCATTCCCCCTGAATTAACTTACCAGCTGTTTGGCCTAGGAATAAAATTTTCACCACTGTAATGAAAATAACCCGAAAGAAAAAGGCATCAATATTCTTTACCTTGAAGCTACGGCTGCACAGAGTGACGCGAAGGGTCGTGCAACTATCTCGCGAATTGATCGGTGCAGACCGTTAATCCATGAGTTTCGCTCACCCCCTGGCCTGGTTTTTCCTTGTCTTCCAGGGCTTTTAAATTCCTTGGCGGTGGAAAATGGTATCATGCCATCTTCTTCACTACCAAGGAAAAGGGTCAAACTCAGAGATATGTAAATAGCTTATCAAAATTTTGGGCATTACCACATTTATCATAAGAGACAAATTTGAGATGAAGGTGAGTTTCCATAATGCAGTCTTTTTTTAAAAAAAAAAGGCTACTTTTTCATCCTGCGGTCAGAAAACTGTCTTTCTTTCCATGCTTAAACTAGCTAACGTGGAAAGTGGGGTGATGGGGTCGGGGAAGCGATGTATTTATTGGCTAACACTGAAGGATGACGTTCATCCCAACTTTGTGTTAGTCTAGCTCTTCCTTTTCTTTTCTTGAAGGATTCCTTAAGGATTTCCAGTGCAATAAGGTATGACTATCTGGCCACCCTGTTCCCTCCTGCAGCCTGGGTTTCCCAGCTGACGGACTCATTGTCTGCCGCTGAGCCATGATGCTCATGGTTACAAAGAGAGAATCCAACTAGGATCAGGATGGTGGCATGGGTTCGGCCACCTATTTGGCTGTAGGATAAAAGATGATGGTGTCATCCTAGGCTCTGCTTCTGCCTCATGGCTCCCGCCTGGGCTCGCCACCTCTAGCCGTGGGACCATCCCCGCAGATGTCGTCCTCCCCTGCCCCCTCTTGCACAGTGTGCTGGCATCGACTCTACTAGGAGGCCCAGGGCTTAGACTGTGGAGCCAGATGTCCCATGCCACACCTTCTGGTTAGGGTTAGGGTCAGTCTGCACCGTCTGCAGCAGTTTAAACTGAGCTCCGTGCCTCAGTCTCCCCATCTGTAGAATAGGGGCAGAGTCTCTCCTACATCAGCCAGCATTATCTCGGCGCTCCGCTCACCTCCGAGAAGAGGAAATCGAGGCACTGCGACGTTAGAGGGTCTGATCTCAGCCAGAGGCTCACCTGCCTTCCCTCTCCGTGGTTGTAGGAGGGTGGGGCGCTATTCACTCATCCTCTCTGAGCCTCAGTTTCCCACCTGCGAAACGGGGATCATAGTTGAGCTTCATGTGAACGCAGTGGGTCTCGAGTCAGAGCACAGCGGTGATGGTGCTGTATAAACTGAAGCCTGGGAGATGCAGCCTGATCGCTATTACTACCGAGGTAAATGCTCTTATTGAAATAAATCTCCACAAGCACACCTTGGGGCCGTCTGGGTGGAAGAACGCAGTTGTGGCCTTTTGCTCATCACAAGAGCTTTGGGAAAGGGGGAATTCTGCACAGTAAAACCCGTGTTGCCTTCCCTCACCTTAAAACATCCCATTTCCTCCTGTACTGTTTCCTTCTCATGCAGCTCCCTCTGACAGGGCCACCAAACCTTTGCTCATCTCTCGCTTTGAAAGCAAATCTGCCATCTGGAGGCAAAGTGCCACCTACTAGCGGCTCTTCGTTAACTGTGGGCGCACAGAAACGGGCCTTTGCATATTGGAAATTGATTACGCATGGACGCCAGCAGGTAAACCAGCTGGCCACGGGGGGTTGCTGCCACAGAGCTCCTTCCTTTTTTGGGGGGAGAGGCTCAGTCAGCGGTGCCATGCGGAATGCTTGCTGGTGGCCGGAGGTGAGCAAGCTCGACTTCAGAGAGAAACGTCACCTGTCTTTGTGTATTTAGGCAAGGGGGATGGCACGGAGCTCCAGGGCTAGCTACTGTGTTTCTCTGGAAATAAGCCCTCCCCATAAAATAAGCCCTAGCAGGATTTCTAAGCATTTGCGCAGTAGAAGCCCCACCCCGAAAATAAGACCTAGCAATGGGCGTGGCTACGCAGCTCATCTGCACAACCCGTGCGTGTCGTCATGAGAACTCTATTGCTCGACTAGAGAGATCGGAGCCGATGGTTCTGAAAGAAATAGAGTTGCAAGAGATTCAGGATGGAATTCGGGATTTGGAGAGTTACGATGATGTTCCAGAAGAAGACGACTTCGCTCTAGATTGTTGTTACCGGACTTAAAAAAAAAAAAAAACACACACTCCTTGAAAATAAGCTTTAGGGTGTCTTCTTGAGGAAAAATAAATATAAGACCTTGTCTTATTTTCGGGGAAGCACGGTAGCTCTTTTCTTTTCTAAAAATAAAAGCAATTTAAATGCACAACGATACTCTCTGTCCAGGTAGCACTGGCCTTTCTCCCAACACGTTCTGCTTTTCCAAGACCTCAGCCCCACCAGGAGTAACTTGCTCTGTCTACGTTAGGGGCAACCCTATGTTTCATTTAGTTTATGGTGGTGTTTCCATGCATCTCGTCCCCTGAGCAGGGCCAGCTGTGACGGCCTCACTCACGGCGTCGGCTGGGAGAAACCCGCGTCCGGCACACAATAGCACAGTGGATTTCCAAACCCTTGGTGCAGGTGGGTGGCGGCTTCTGGCCCCAAAGTCACTGGGCTTAGTTAGTGCTCTTTGCGGCTGCCAGGAAGCAAACGAAATTGTGTGGGCTTTTCATATCTTTTTCTTCTTTCTCCGTTTAAGTGACTGCAGAGCAGTGTTACATTGACTTATCCTGCATGTACTCAATCTCGTGGGGCTTCATCCAACACGGCTCGCATCCCGGGATCAAACAGCTAATCTGGGCTGGCTTTGACAGCAGCCTGACTTCTTCAAACTGTCAGGCGGCAGCCGCATTGGAGCTGGTGGCAGGAGTGTCCTTCCCCCTCCGGCCATCAGCAAAGACGACGGGGACCAAGAGAGGCAGAGACGCTATTTGCACGCAGCCTGCAGATTCGGCCGGCAAAGTGGGAACAGATTGTGATTTTAGGCAAGTGTAGGTTGTCGTAACAAGAATAGGTCCCTCCTTCTTACTCAGAAGCCCGGGAAATTGACCAGCAGAACCGCGTGGTGCTGTGAGTTATCGATCGCCGGCGGCTGCGGGAGACCTTTGCAATCACTCGTCGGGGGAGGCCTGATTAACAGAGGCCAGCTTGCTGAATGAGACGAGATTTAGTGTCCACAGAAATTAACGCGGTGTTGTCTGAGCGTCCTTCACCTGATAGTGGAAAATCAAGTTCAAGTGGCGGGGAGCAGGCGTCCGGTTGAGCGCCGAAACATTTCAGAGTAGAAAGGAAGTGGATTTTGGAAGAGTTCGCAGAGGCAAGTCTTAGAAGAACACGTGCTTTGGATTTCTACCCAGAGCCCACAGCCGGTTTCTAGATGTAATAACTAACGATTATATTTGAAAGTGCTAATATCAAGAACTGGTGGTGGTGCTTGCTATTTTTCCTTTCTTTCTTTCTCTCTTCTTCTTTCTTTCTCTTTCTTTCTTCTCTTTCTTCTTTCTTTCCTTTCTTCTTCTTTCTTTTTCTTTTCTCGTCTCTCTCCTCTCTCATCTCTCTTCTCTCCTCTCTCTCTCTCTTTCTCTTTCTTCTTTTTCTTTTCTTCTTCTAATGAGATTGAAGACGTACCCATTAAATAAAGATAGCGGGTGATACAGATTTATGACCACTTGGTAGCATTAGGGAGGTAAGATTATTAGAATGTGAAATTCATTATTTAATATTTTGGAAGGCAGAGTGTCAGGGGGGTGGGGAGGAATGTTTCAAAGCCTCCATGTAGACTGGAATCTTAAAGAGGCGAACTTAATCCATTATCTGGCTGTGCCATTTGCCCGACGACTTTTTGCATCTCTGGTTTGTGCAAAATTGTACAGTTCTTCCTGTTGTATTCTAATTAGTCGGTGATGCAACTTTTTAATTAAGTAGCTCCCCTGGATTAGGATTTCAGAGTTTTCACCCAAGAAAATCCTATTCTTTGTGTACAACACTGTCTGAATATACATTCATTGCATCTTTCTTAAGAAACCAACTAGAAGAAAAGAGAGTTTTATGCTGGATTGATCACTAAAGTCAGTATTAACAAAATGGTCTAGAAGTAATTTGTGGGTCACAGTTTTAAAGTCCAATATGTTAAAAATTTTGAACTTTGATAGAGTAGTGATAGTATTTTTTTTAATCAATATATATTCCGCTTTTATTTTCTCTCTTCCCAAAAATTTTTTAAAGAAGAAATAGAGTCTTACTTGGTTTGAGTGCAGGGCTGGTTTCATAGCTAAAAATGTTTTTTATCTTTCAGTTTAGTAATATGTTCAAATGCATGGAAATAAAGACTTTTAAAAATCTCTTCAAACTGTGTTGTAAATATCAAGATGTCATCTTAAAATACCTGTATTTATGTATTTATTCTGAAAGTCTAGCCAAGAGTGTTTTCAATTCTTCCTAAAATAGTCTGATCTCTTTCAACCATGAAAGCTGTCCCCTCAGGGGTTCACACTTCCTCTAAATCCTTCAGGTAAATTAGAATCAAGTGCCATTGTAAAGAAGAAACTCTGCTACTACATCATTGTGAATTTAAGAACTTGTTTTAGGCTGGGTGCGGTGGCTCACACCTGTAATCCCAGCACTCTGGGAGGCCGAGATGGGAGGATCACTTGAGGCCAGTAGTTTAAAACCAGCCTGAGCAAGAGGGAGGCCTTGTCTGTACCAAAAATAAAACTATTAGCCGGGAGCAGTGGTGGTGCCTGTCAAGTCCCAGCTACTCAGGAGGCTGAGTTAGGAGGATCACTCAAGCTTAGAGGCTTAAGACAACAGAGCAAGACCCTGTCTAAAAAATAAAAAAAGAACTATTATAGCTTTAAAGGCTCAAGGTTAAAGTTTTGCAGTTACCCGTATATCATATCTCATCTGTTTTGCATCTCATTTTAGTCACATAAAGAGATCACTTGGAGATTGCTCCACAGTTATACTGAGATGATTCATTCCTTTAAATACTTGCATGATATTTTATTGACAGAATTTACTTTAATTTACCATTATTCTATTGGTGTTCCAACTTTTTACTGCTATTAAGCAATCATACTATAAAATATTCTTATATCCATGAGACAGAATCAAACTCTTTTAATTGGGATAGCTTTAAGATACGATTTAATATCAGTGAGGTATCATTTTCCCCCTTAATTACCTTTCTTTTCCTGAATTTTACTGGCTGTTTTTTTTTTTGTGCATGTTTTTCCTCCATGTGAATCAGCTTATCTAGTTCAAACAATTCTGATTTATTTTATCCTTTATTTTTTTTCCAAATGTGAACATGGACATGTGAGAATAAGACAAAAAAAAAATTAAAAAATATTTTCTATGCTGATACTTCCATTTGGAACGATTATGCATTGTAATACATTGTATATTGACTATAACATCTAAAAGAATGGGATCGAACCAACTAGTGAGTTTCCCACAGAATTGCTATTACAGTAGTCTGATCAACATTATTGATACCAACTTCATTGATACCTATGTTGAAATTTTTGTATTGAATAGTTTTCATCTCAGCCGCCATCATAATAATTTCATCTTGCTCCCAATGTGGAAGAGGGCATTGGTGACTGTGTTAGTTACCTAGTGCCGTGAAACAAAGCAACTCAAAATGCAGTGGCTTCCCACGATACTCATTTATTCTCTCACAGTTTCGGTGATTCGGCGATCCTGGAGTGGCTGAGCTCAGTGTTTTTTTCCTCCGAGTATCTCATGAGATTGCAGTCAAGACATCATCTGGCGCTGATATCATTCGAAGGCGCTGGCTGGCTCACTTATGTAGCTGTTAGCTAAAGCTCTCAGCTCTTCCCTGGGTATCCGAAGAAGACCTCAGCTCCTCACCATGCAGGCGTCTCTACAGAGCTGCTTGAGTGTCCTTACAAGATGGCTGCCAGCTGTCTTCAGAGTGAATGACCCAGGAGAGAGCAAGACAGAAACCATGATATCTTTTATGACCTAGCTGTGAGAGTTTCGTACTACCACTGTGCGAGCGATAATATTAGAGTGGTTCGATAAAACAACCCTGACACAATGTAGGACAGAACTAAATAAACGCATGCACAGCAAGAGTCAGGGATCATTTTAGGGCCAGATACCATAAAGATTAAGAATTGGTGCTCTTAGTTCTCACTGCAGAGCCAAAGGCAGATCGTTTTTATTCAAACTTTCAATTCTGTGTGGCATAATAATTTTCCTTCATAATTTGGTATCATCATCTAATATCATCTCATATCATCAATATTAGAAATATAGTGCCCTATGATGATCATAGTTATGAATGTGCTCACTAAAATAAACTTTAGGGGTACTCTAACAGCAGTCTCTTAATTTAGCAATTTCTCTTTTAAAATGTTATTCTTTTTTAAATTTAAAAAATTAAATTAAATTACTTTAAATAATAAAATTTTCTTTCTCCTCTATTGTTAATTTCCCACTTAGGTTGAAAATTATTTCCCTAAGCCAGCAGAGTTCAAATTGTTTCTGTCAAAGGCACCAGAAATTATGCCATCTGGTATACACTCCACAGGGACGACATGATAAACATTTTTAAACAGTCTGGATAAATACTTCTTTTTTTCTGGACACATATCATCCAGTGATAAGATCTCTACTTTTTTCCTGAAAATTCAGAAGAGGTATATAACCTTAAGAAATGGTTGAATGGTATGGCTTCTTCTCTCTCTCTCTCTCTCTCTCTCTCTCTCTCTCTCTGTCTCTCTCTCTCTCTCTCTGTGTGTGTTTGGTTTACAAACATACATACATATGAATATATAATCTAGAAAGAATTGGACTCTCTGGTGATTCTAGCAGATAAAAACTACAAAATATAACTTGTCTCAAAGTGAATTCTTTTCCAAATTCTTCAAGCCATCAGTAGTGATGTTGGGATAGTAAATTGGTGGAAAGTAACTAAATAGGAAAAAAAAAAATTTGTGATTTACACTATTGCCCAGGAAACTTTGATCTTTCCTTTTATTCTTTGTTCTCCACTTGTAATTTGGTTACTTTTAAGCAATAACTTTAGTCCAAAATAATCAGTCATAATGAAGCGACTTGCTGATGAACACTTGCTCATGAACAGACACGTGCAGGCACACACACATAGAGAACCTAACTAAGGCAAACTATCATCAA